ACTTTCAACGCCAAACGATCGTGACGACCAAGAGATGAACCAGAGCTTAAGGAGAGGGATGCCAACACGTTTGTCTTCGTGATCTCGGTGGAGATGTGATAGCCGAAACGGATCTGAACAGAGTTTGGGTTAGAAATCCTAGATTAGAAGTTTTGTCATAGCAATTCGGAGAAGGGTGTCTCATCATGTTGTTATGTACCGGTGTAACATGCATCTAGTGATTTAGTGGAGGGCTATTACACGGACGTGGGCCCCGCAGACTAGGAGAATTTGCTTCGAACTGCGTAAACATATCTGGTGTTATTTTTTACGCTTTTTACAGTTACAGCATTCTGGCGAGTAGGCGCTGTAACACCCTCTGCATCATCTGCTTCTGTGTGCGTGCTTGTGACAGAGAAGTGCTATAGCACACTGTCCGTCATCTGTTAATGTGACAGTGCTGCAATGTCTTCTGTGCAGCATAGTATATAGATTTGTTTGCATAGCTTTCAATTGGTGATTTCCGCTGCGCCCCCCATGAACTTACAATTAGTATCAGAGCGGTTGAGCTTAAGTTATTAGCTTGGTCTTTGGGTGGTTCGTTGCAAACATTCATGATGATCTGAAAAAGACTTAGTGCACTTTATGAAGCAAGATGTGGTTATGATGCATATCCTGAGGGGGAGTAAATTGCAAAAAGGGATGAAGCTCCAACATAAAATTCAGATTAGAAACATGTGGTCGATTTTATTTTATTTTATTTTGCGCTTGTTATTGTTGCATGCTTTTAAAAGAACTTGGTATTACTTTTCTTTTTTACCGTGAATAAATTTGGCATATTTTGTGTCAAAAAGGGGGAGAAAAGGCTTAGTTCTTAAAAGATGCTTTAATCTTTTATGCGCATGGTGCACAATGTATTTTGCCAAAAAATTACCAAAGGGGGAGATTATTAGTTCCATGATGTTGGCTAATATTTTGGCAAAATAGAATCCCATATTTGTTAGATGTTTTACTAGGTAGAAACCTCTATTTGTTAGGAGAGGTTTATTTTATTTAGACTTCTAGAGCTGCTGCAGTTTTCGAGGTTGACGCAGAAGATGCTACAGCACAATGCTACAACACAGTGTGCGGGATCAGAGGTCTGAGCACGGGATTTTAAGCTGCAATTTGAATTAGAGACCTATTGGGATTGTGATTACATGATAATAACTCCAGCTGTACATGCTAAGGAATCCCAACTCTTTAGGCCACTTGTGGATCAAGATTAAGGAAGTAGAGTTCAAGCAGACTTCTACTATCCTATTCCTACTAGGATTGTGTTAAGAGAAGCCTATAAATACGCAGCAGGTCCCTGGGAATTACTCGGAGCGATTGAGAGGGAAAATACAGAATATACATACTACATCTCGCAAGGACAGCGCAGGGCCTCGAAGGGTACGTACTTCTTCCAGTGCTAGATGTACCTCCTCCTCTGAAAGTTGCGGTTTGCTAGCACTGCTGGTTCTCTACTTGGTCTCGAATTCCTCTCCCTACGGTTGTGCAAACAGAAGCACTAGAGCCACCTCTACACTATCGGCTTTGCCTAGACTTGTCTCAACGGGTTAGAAATCCTAGATTAGAAGTTTTGTCATAGCAATTCGGAGAAGGGTGTCTCATCATGTTGTTATGTACCGGTGTAACATGCATCTAGTGATTTAGTGGAGGGTTATTACACGGACATGGGCCCCGCAGACTAGGAGAATTTGCTTCGAACTGCGTAAACATATCTGGTGTTATTTTTTACGCTTTTTACAGTTACAGCATTCTGGCGAGTAGGCGCTGTAACACCCTCTGCATCATCTGCTTCTGTGTGCGTGCTTGTGACAGAGAAGTGCTATAGCACACTGTCCGTCATCTGTTAATGTGACAGTGCTGCAATGTCTT